ATCATGGAACAAAAACATAACCCTGCTTAGTTTGAGGAATGCAATATGTTTAGCAGCCTAAACCTGAAATGTATCCAGGAAAGATATGTCTTAACCAATAAAGGTTGAAGTTAAGTGCCACTGCTTAAGCATGTAGGTTTTTGAGTGACAAAAATAAAGTGAGTTATACATGTAAAAAAAAGAGAGAGAGAAATTACCGAAAAGTAAAAATTCTTGAAGAATTTTAGAGCTATCAAAGTATGAAGATCAAAGATAAAAAGTTCTAAAGAATCAAAAATTTGAAGATGCCAAAAATCATGAAAGAAGTGAATTCAAAGAAGTGAAAGATCAAACATTAAAGAAAAGAAGAATTCAAGAGCTCCAAGTTGTGGTATCTTCTAAAAAGTTTTAATTCTCTAGTTTAGGTATGCTTGGGTAGCTTTACAAAAATATCTCGAGGTTAGAAAGCTCTCTGAGGATGGATTCGGAGGGTTGCATAAAATATGCATTGTTCGAAAGAAGTGGGTAATTGTTTATGAAGATTGTGAGTATTTAAAGTATGGGGGTCATTTAGGAAAATTTAGACACAAATGCATGCGTTGAGGTCTTGGCATAATGGCTGAACTGGAATTGGATTATTCTATGAAATGCTAGTGATGAAGGTTTAAATTTAAATAAGTAGATTTGCTTGAGGGCAACCAAAGCCTAAGTGTGGGGTATTTTGATATTGCCATATTTATACATAGTTTTAGGCAATATTGATCTACATTTTATTTAATATTTTGGTTATTTGCACATAATTATGGTACTTATAAGGATAAATTGTTATGTGCACCCAAATAGAAGTATTTTCAAAGAAAGAGACCAAAAGTGACAATACTTGAAACTTTAGGGGGCTTGAAGAAAAGAAGAACGAAAAAACACCCAAAAAATGTACTCACGACGTGAACAGTTCATGATTCACGATGTGAGTAGAGAGTTTTAGAAGATAAGCATCCAGGTGAAGGAATCCTTGCCGATCACGATTATCTCGAGTTCACGACGTGAGACTTAAAATTTAACGATGTGAATGAGAAATTTTAAGACATTATGAATACCTTTGCCCATTACAATTTTGGAGACTTTTTGCTGAAGAAAAAAGTTGCAGGTGGTGATTTACAGCAGAAGAAAGGTCCTGGAAAAAGTGTTTTCAACACCAAAAGAGTAAAAGTCTTTAATTAAGTTAATTGTTTGATACTTATCAACATGTTTTCTTATTTGAGTTGTGTTTATGTGTTAGTTGCTACTATGAGCAACTGAATCTAGCTACTCTTATCTAGCTAGATGAAGCTTCTAACTTATGAATAGCATAATTTTATATGGATTTATTTAGTTGGTGAATTGCTTGTGTTTGATTTATTGTTACCTAACATGCTTATGTTGTTGCCTTAGTTGCTTAAATTCATGTTATATGTAGCTTAGTGACCATTAACTGCATGAACTTGATAACCTAGTAATTTAGTGAACATTGAATTGCTAGAGCTAGGATCAACCAAAATCTTAGTTAGCAATTGAAGTAATTAACTTTGCTGTGCTAGAGAACATAGATTATGACCATAATTATGTTTGCATGTTAAATCGTACATAGCATATTCGTAAACATAATTAGTTCTGTGTTTAATTGTGTGTGACCATACATAGTTTTACATGAATTAATTAACTATTGGTAAATTTAGACCTAAATTACTAATATAATAACAACCAACTTAATAATCCATAATTATTTGTTAGCCATAAGGAGGAAGTGAATTCGAATTAGATAAGAGTGTTTTTAATTATTAATTGAATTTGAGTTAAGTTAGTATGATCTTGCAAAATCAGATAACAACCCTTTGTAGTTTGTTAATAATTAGATTAATTTCGTAGTAAATAGATTAATTAATAACACCGTTCCCTGTGATCGACACCCGACTTACCCAAACTATATAGTAATCTGACTAGGTATACTGCCTACAAGTGCATAGTTAGTCTAAGTTTGTTAGATTATAAATATTAAAATTAGTGGGTACTTCCGTGCACATCAGATAAATTATTATACCATCTTTTTAAGAACGGACGAACAATAATCAACTTTTAAAAAAAAATCTTCATCTGATTTAAACGATACAAATGTTCCTGAACTTTTGGTTAGTATTCCTTAATGTATGGATTTTCCTAATCTTTTTTTTTTTAAATAAAATGTCCAGTTTATCCTTATTGATTATTTTTATATTTAAAATAATTAAAAATTTTCCAATTAATTACCACATGCCACTCTTCATCTTAACCATTCATTTTTATAATCCAATGGTCAAAAAAAGGTCATACACTCACACTATATTTGTTCACATTTAATCCTAACTATATATATATATATATATATATATATATATATATATATATATAGGGTTAGGTTATTTTGTTTTTAGTAACTATTGTGTGCCAGAATGCACAGATCCGGACCATCGGATGGAATATAATCAAAGGCTGATGGTCTATGATAGTATAATAGGGTAAAATGTACCATATAATCACACAAAATTCAGCATAAGGGCATTTTAGTCAATTAAGATGAATTTAAAAAAGGAAAAGTCGAGATTTATGGGATAATTAATGATTTTGATATAAAAAATCTGATTTTTTTTCAAATTAATTCAATTTCAAACGTAATCTATAAGAATAAACCGATTTTATTCTATCAGAATGTTATTTTGTTAGAATGATATTTTGTAATTCTGTCAGAATTGTATACAAATATGAACATAATATTATAAACACACATAAGACCAATAATTTTTAATGAATATAAATTTTATATAAGACGAAGTTTAATAGTTTAGAATAAGTGATTATATTCATTATTAAAGAATACAACTATGAACATAAATTACATTTATTCTTGAAATCTCTTGCAAAAAAAAAATATTGGCGTTCTTGAAAGAATCATCATTCACTTTCTTGTTTCGTTTATAGATGTCTTGTGTATGTTTGACCTCTAAGCCACTTCAAAATATGCTAGCATTCTTTGAGATTGACATTTTGTGAGATTGGCATTCTGTCAGAATTGTATTGCATGAGAATGATTCTATACAAGGAGCTACAAAAAGGAGATAAACTTGAGGATGGTAAGTGATCCCTAGGTAAAACTTGAAACATTTGAAAAACATAAGAAACAAAAATCATGTTAAAACTTTAGCCAATTGCAATACAACCCTTGCAAAACCATTCTTATGTGATTCTACCATAATCATTCTTATGTGATTATACCAGAAATACAATTTTGGCAGAATCATTCTTATGTGATTTTCCAAGATTATTATACTCTCTACACATTATTCAAATAGAAGAATATATTAGATACAAATTATTCTTCAAGAATGAAATAACTATTCTTAAAGAATGAAATAATTGAAGATAAGAATAAACACCCAACGATGAGGAAAGAATGTCATTCTCACAGAATTAGCTTAATTAGCTTAAACTGAAAACTAATTCAGCAATTGATCAACAATTGGTCCATCTTTTGCTGCAATTAGAAGCTTGATTAGTGATATTTTAATTAAAGCAATACAACATACAATCAAATTAGTAGAATAATAGTGTATCTTTCATCATCTGTAGCAATTGAAGCTTGATTAGAATATATAAAATATTCAACACAGAACATAAAACATAAGTAAAAGTAGTTAGAATAACTAGTATACAACATACACTAGAATAAGTAGAATAATTTCAAGTGAACATTTTATCAAACCAACATACATAGAATAAATAAACGTAAACAACAATGCTTAAAATATTTAAGGTATACATAACTTACAGTATCTAAAATAAATCAAAAGAAATCATTATCACATAAGAATATGTAGAATGTTTAAGGAAGAATGATGCAATGTTGGCATTATGTCGAACATCTGGTGGGTGGAAGTTACACTTTCAGATTACACATAGCAAATTAAGATGTCAAGATCGACATCAGATTCAACAACAAGGTAAAAACCATGTGCAATTTCAGATAGCAATTAGATTCAAGGTGCAAAATCATAAATCAATTTTAAAACCAATCAATTGATACATACTCAATCAGAATCATAAATAAATTTTGACTCAAAGTGAATAAGTCTCGATTCTTCAAAGATGAAACTTCCAACGAATCAGAAATTAAGGTAGAAGAAATCGATTAAGTTGAATAAGAAATAGAGGACATATAACTAACCTTTGGGCGTCTTAAGAAATAGAAGTTGTTTGAATTCGTTGTTACTGGTAGTGGTATTTTGATTATCATTCACTCCCTCAGTTTTGTAAAATTTGTTGGTCGTAGCAGGGTTATGGTCGACGTGTGCATTAAAACTCAACTGATGCGGCCGAAGGTCAATGGAAGGGGGAGGATACGATTTTGTTGTTGTCGATGGAAGATGCAATAGGGAAGCAGAAGTAGAATACATATGATATGAGAGGCTAGGGTTTAATAGTTGGTCAAAGAGATTTTTATGGTAATTTCCAAGAATTAAGGGATTTTATTTTAATTATCATGCTAAAATTACATAATTACCTTTATTACATTTTTTAATTATTTAATTATTCCTAAATTCCTATTGGTGTATTCATGTACACAATAGTTGCTAGAAACATTTGAGCCCATATATATATATATATATATATATATATACATATATATATATATGTATATATATATATATATATATATATATATATATATGTATATATATAAATATAAAGTAATTGTTGATGTAGTAGTGGGAACCACATTTAAAAGATGAGTGTTATTGCACTTATTCAGTCATTGCAAAGTTGATATGACACAATTGAAAGGTTAGTAGCATTGGACTGATGTGGATAACCTAATACACCTTTAACTAACGAGAGAGTATTCAAACAATAAGTATAGGCAACAATGAGTATTAACTTATAGGAATAATCAACTATGTTATAATAGACATTTATTTTCAATAATGTATATTCAACAGGAAATAGTCAACGGATGATAAGCATTTATATGAAATAATCAATCGGATGAAGGGCAACGGGTAAAAAACTAATTAAATAAATTAACAGTTCAAAGAAACAAGAAACCCCTACCCCAAGACAGCCGAAGACCCTTGCGAAACCAAAGCATCTGTCGTTGAGGTTCTCCGTCCTCAGTTGTCTGACGGCAGGCGATGGTTGTGTTGGTGTTGTTGCTTGTGTTTTTGTTGACTGAGCGAGGAATTTCACAGTCAACGGATCATGATATCAATACTAACAATTCCCATCCTACCGTTTTGGCGATTAACACATCTACAATAAATCTGCCAAATTTTATCAAGAATCGCAAAGCCTCTACCCTTGCTGAACTCAGGATTGAAGTACTTAATACTAGTTTTGATGACACGGTGTATGAAGAATCTCAGTGCCGGAACTACCTCTCTACCGATCAGTGTGTGGTTTGTTCAGAGGCCGGCCCTTCTGAATCTGGCATGTGCACAGCTGGCCTTGGTGCTTATGTTGTCTTCGATAACTGCTTTGCCAGGTAACGTTTTATCTATTTACAGTTTCATGGTTAACTATTATCTCTAGTAGAAAACTCTCAGATAGGAATCTGATTATATGAGTACATTATTCGAACACATCCTCAACTATTAGTATTAGATTAGGATTTTGTGGGATTTTCTATAAATACCCTAAAACCTTTACTAATAACCCTCTTCTCTCCTCTCTTCATAATCGATCATATGCACTCTGTCTTTCTGTTAACAGCATCTGGAGCTGATCAAATTCGGATACCCACACTAGACAACCAAATGAAATTCTCTTTCCTATTCTCTGTTCACTTTGATCTTATCTGTCCTCTATTTTCTGTTTATCACACATCTACCTTGATCCCACATTCTTGATCAAGAATCTTTTGTGATTATCAAGACTCAACTTTAATCAATCTCGATCCCTTCTTGAACCCCTTTCCCTCCTCTCTGACCTCCACCAACGTGGTTCCTTTCTTCTTATCTTCTTACCCTCTTCACCATTCTAATCCCATACCATGAGGTCCATGACTTTAAATATATGTGGAGCCCCATGATTGCCTCTCCAAAAAAGCCCTTGTGGAGAGAATGGAGACTCGAACATGTATAGCCGCTTATAAGGCCGTGTCGCACCGATGTTCCCTCAAAGTTGGAGGCTCGTTTAGGATAGACATGGTTGTGCTGGGCCACAAGGTGCGGGACACTGATTCTCATCACCATGTAAATATATGTGGAGCCCTGAGATTCTCTCTAAAAATAGCCCTTGTAGAGAGAAGGGAGACTCCAACATATATAGCCACTTATAAGAATATGTCACATCGATATGAGATACACTAACAATGACCGACCCTTTTTCCAATCACTTTAAAGATGGAAAAAGGACAATAACCCTCTTGGTTCGAGCTTTTTCAGATACACTACCGCATGAAGTTCTTGGTCACATTCTCCCACTAGCATATACTGCCAAAACAAATTTGTGGACTTGGTTGGAATGTATAGTGCTCTAATGAATCTGTGGCACCATCTTAGACAATAGTACTACTCACCATCAAAACATCTTTCAAGATAACAAACAATAACAAGCCGTTACCTAAAAAATCAATGTAGCCATGTTCATTTAGATAGTTTCCATGATATTTTGTCTTATTGTTAATAGTCGGAAATGCTTGCGGATCAACTTGCTAATGTTGATGCTTCTGTCTCCGACCAAAGGTTGGTTTCTTCATTTTGTCGCTGCTCTGTTCGTCCTTCTCCCACTTATCGATAAACACTTCTGCTAAGTCGTCAATATGCTTTGCATCACAAGCAAGAACAATAGATATCCCTCCGAAATAATCCTCACATAAAACCAAGAAAAATTTAAATACGAATCCAAATTAGACATGTTACACAACAAAATGTTGATAGATAACCCAAAGTCTATAATCTTTCCATTCTAGATTTGATGAATCATCAATAGATGGTCAAACACAATGATGATCCACAATATATGCAGGGACTGAAACAACGACCTAAAACCCACAATGAATTCAATCCACACCAAAATCCTAATGGTTCAAGATTACGTCAAGTTTGCCCGAATTGAGCAAGCGAGGTAACTTTAAAAGAATAGTCTACATAATAACATGAAGAAAAATCTTTTTAACAAGTTTGATTATCAATATAAACAAACAAATGAGAACTTTGACTGAAACACTTGGCATGCCATATCAAACTGCTATCCGAAATGGATGAAGAGTGTACACATAACCTCTAATACACCGAATTCCAATCTATGATACCACATGTTTAGTATCTATTATATATGAATCGAGCATTTAGATCATGTTCATGGAGCATTTGGAGCTCTTGAAACTAAATGGAGCACTTGGGGTTTATGGAGCATGTTACAAAGGAACGATTCATCTGAGAAAGGATTAGATCGTCTGACAAAGAAACGGATCAAGTGCCAAAGGAATGGATCATATAGAAGGGGGTTTGGAGCAATTGGAAGAGTTTTGGAGAACTCGGGGGTGATATGGAGCAACAAAGGAACCTTGTTACGTTATATGTTTAAGGGATGGGCCAAGAAGGATGTTATTACACCAATGGAATTCCTTCTTGCGCCATTATGCCCCCTGTTGCATCATGAGGAGTTTCTCTTGTGCCATGAGGATCCTTCTTGCGCTATGAGGTATTCCTGTTGAGCCATGGAGTATGCTCTTGCTCCATGCATGAACTTGTTGTACCATGTGTGTTCCTGTTGCGACAAGGTGGTGTTGTTGCTCCAATACTGATGTTCTTGCGCCACACTTGAAGTCTCCTGCACCATCCATATCCCTGTTGCGCCATGATGGTACAAGTTGGACCATCTTGGTCCTTGATGAGCCAAGTATGCTATGAAGTCCTTTATGCTGCTCAAGATCGTTCAAAGATTCTCAGAAGTTGGTGTTGCTCAAGGATTACACCATGTTGTGTCACCATGATGGTTATTAGGCCATTTGTGTTCATGATACACCACTTATACATCATGTTGCTCCACTATGACACAAGGTGCTCCATTATGTGTGTTGCTGATTTTCATGGGTTGTATGACATGGATGAATGTTCCAGAAGATGTTGCATGACATATTGTGATTGGTTGACACTTTTCATGGGCTAATGGGCTTGGCCCATTAGGGTTTTAGGTCTGATCCCTTAAGTATAAATAAGGATGCATGCTAGGTCATTTTGTATATTGAATTCTAGAGTGATAGTCAAATCTCTGTGTAATTGTACTTGTAACCTCTGTTTGAGAGCTCTGAAATAAAAGAATACTCCCCTCCTGCCCGTAGACGTAGGTCACCATGTAAATACTGTGTCTTGTGTGCTTACAGTTTTGCAAGTTATCCGTTTTACTTCCTAACAATATCCAATCGAAACCGGGCTTATATATCACTTGTTGGGATCGACGAACGCTCCCCTTCATAATAACAACTATCGAAACGAAACAAAACTAATCAAAACAAATCACAAAGCAAAGATACCCACAAAATAATATTCATTGATCATAATGTTAATGAACTATCTACACTACAAACAAACCACATAAACATAAAGATCTGACACTATTGATGATATCACTTTATTATGAATATTTTGTGCACATGCTGTGTGTGTACAATAAAAAAAAGTGACTAAACGTGTACAAAAAAGGAAGTTTAATGTTCATATATATATATATATATATATATATATATATATATATATATATATATATATATATAAATATAAAAACATAACCGACTAAATGTATACACGAGATAACGTTTGTTACCCTTAAAAGGCATTAACCCCTTAGGAAAAAGAATAAGTCCTAAATCTTGTACGTCCTTTGTTGTTAAGGTACGAAGACTTTGCTGACTTCTATAATAAACCAGATGTCACTCAAGATGGTACTGGCACTCCATTTTCAACATGTGGCACTCAACTAGCATCCATAACAACTTTCAAACCAGTTGTAGATAGTTTGTTATCAGATCTTCGAAATGCTACTCCAAAAGCCTTTAATTTCTATGTAGCATTGACAAAGGAAATCACAAGTGAAGATGCAACCATGTATGGGATTGGACAGTGTGTTGGAAACAAGACTGTTTGTCAAACATGCATGAATACAGCGTACAACAAATCAAATAATTGCCTTCCAAGTAAAGAAGGAAGGTTTTTCAACATGGGATGTTTTGCCAGATATTCAAAGACTCCATTATTTAACCAGACAACAACAGACGTGACAAGTGTCTTAAAGGGTGAGGCCACTTCTTTCAATATCCTGAAACAAAATGGGATATCGGTTGATAACTTTATATGATTATATGATAGGGAATTCAAGTAAGGCAACTATACTTGGTGGAACTCTTGCTGGTGTAGTTCTTTTTATCCTTATCGTTGTGTTCTGGTTATTGTATCGACTACGGAAGGCTAAAAATACTGAACAAGGTGAATATTTTTCATGTACAAATATTTTCCCTATACAATATGATAATTAATTTCATAGTAATGATGAAAAATCTATCTATATACTTGTGGACAATGTTATGCGTGGGATGCAGTGGATTTGAAGGGGGCAGTAATGTACAGTTATCGCGATCTGCAATTGGCAACCAATAATTTTTGTGAAGAAAATATTCTGGGTAGAGGAGGTTTTGGTGAAGTGTTCAAGGTAAATAAGATAGAACTTTCCATCTTAGATTGCTAAAATTATTAATCTGTTATAGTAAACTTTGGAAAGTTTGAGAAAAATTTATACAATGCGTTTCGGCAATGTTTGGTGGAGTAACTGAAAAGCTGGCTGCTAGTTCATAGCTGAAAAGCTAGCTGGTAGTTGCTAGCCGATAAAAAATGACTTTTGGACGTTTGGTAAAAAACTAGCTGAAATGTAAAATGACATAAAAGGGCATATAGGAGATTGAATAATTTTCCATTTAGATAATTTTTTTACTATATTTTTTATCATCGTGTGTGTATATATATATATATATATATATATATATATATATATATATATATATATATTATTAAGTCAATATATATTATTAAGTCATTTAGTTTTACTTTGGAAAGGGATCAAAACCAAACTGCAGCTGTGCCATAAGGATGAAAACCCTTCCATAGGGATTAAAACCACAAGTGAAATGAGTAATTTTCCCTTTAGGCATTTTACTTTCCATAAGTACATTTATTTTACACAAAAAGCATCTTCTAGTGACCTGATCCATAGAAAATGACAAACCACACAGATCATTCTTGCAATTTACTCAATTTAGTTTAGATGTTATAAGTCGACATTTTTCATCGTTATACAAACATATGGGGAATATATTATAAATTCCCTTATTATTTACTAATTCAAACAACCCCTTGAATTGTTTAATAGGGAAACCTTGATGTTAAGACTGTTGTAGCCGTGAAGAAACTTCAAGTATATCATGCTAGATCAAAAGATGAATTTGAGAATGAAGTTAAGCTTATAACTCACATTCATCATCGAAATCTTTTACGTCTACTTGGATGGTCCAGTGAAGGATCTGATCTACTTCTAGTCCTTGAATATATGCCAAATGGAAGCCTTGATCAATTCTTATGGGGTAAGCTGGTTTCACAATTATTCATTTGAAATCTTTATTTTAGAACATTTGGCATGCTAATTAACATCAGATTAATGTTGTAAATGGGTAACAAACTTTTTCTTTTCATAAAACTCTATTGTGAAAAACAGAACTATCATAAGGTAAGCAATTGGAACTTTGTGTTCACAAAAAAAAAAACATTATTTGAATGGTATTTTGTAAAAAAAAAAAAAAAACAATGGTGTTTTCTAGAATAACAAATAGTTTGTTACCCATTTATGACATTGACCCATTAATATATGTTCATAATGGAGGTGCAAAAAGTGGGACTTTGGACTGGAACCAACGATATGAGATAATTTTTGGGATAGCTAGGGGTCTTGCTCATCTGCACAATGAATTCCATGTCAAAATCATTCACAGAGATATTAAATCAAGCAATATTCTCCTTACTGATGATTTTAAGCCCAAGATAGCAGATTTTGGGTTGGCAAGGTTTCAACCTGAAGACCAAAGTCATGTTAATACCAAGTTTGCTGGGACATTGTAAGCTTGATTTGTGATAAAAATTGCACATTACTTAAATCATCTGTTTGCGTCTAATCAAATTCTTTCATTTTTCACGATGTAAGGGGATATACAGCACCAGAATATGCACTTCAAGGTCATTTATCGGATAAAGTTGACACTTACAGTTTTGGAGTCGTGGTTCTTGAAATCATTAGTGGCAGAAGGAGTACTGAAGTGAATAGGTCATCCTCTGATTACCTTCTGGAACATGTGAGATGCCAAAATTAATCACATTTCCTATATTTATTTGTTGCTTTTTAAGTAACCGGCAAGATCAAATTAATAATAATCAATAAGAAGTTACATAGCAGGTGCACATGACAAGAGAAAAAAAAAATGATACGAAAGAAACATGCATTCCTCCTTGGAACATAACATGTAGAAAGAAAAAGAACGAAAATCAAATAATCTATGTAACACTCGATAGATCTGAATTACAACTAATAGTAATGTGTACTCTCCCTTTTGGAGTTTTCTTGAACCAAGTTCATAGGGGCTTGTTTTATTCATTCTATTTATATAAAAAATAATTCTATATAAATATTTCAGACATGAATGTTGCTTATATTTTAGTATATTTTATTGTCTATTTACAGTACATGATTGTGAACTCTTCATTTGTTGTGCTACTATTGGGTGAACAGGCATGGAAGTTGTATGAAAAGAAAATACATAAGAAGTGCATTGATGAGACGTTGGACTCGAAACAATACGAACAAGAACATGTGATGAATATCATTGAGATTGCTTTGTTGTGCACACAATCACCAGTTTCGAAGAGACCAACCATGTGTGAAGTGGTTTTGATGCTTCAAGATGGTCAATCAGTGGGGAAAAGACAGCTAATCAGACCTTCTTTTGGGTACAATCATGATACAAGGATTCATATAGAATCTTGATAGAAATAACCTCTGCAAAAACCCAAAGGAAATTAGATCCTGCAAAGATCTTGTAATTTAGGGATTTATGTCCATGTTGGTAAAAGGAAAATGAACTTAGACCAACCAGCTTATTGTTATTTTTTGGCGTAAAAACATAAACATCCTGGTTAAATCGCCCATTTTCCTTTGCTCTATGTAGAGGCAGTCCTGGGATAGCATCTTTAACCCACAATTTTTGTTTCAATTGAGCAAATTTAATGCTGATTATAATAGAAAAATAAATGAATATTCTTTTTACACAAGGTCTATCCTTTTTAGTTTTTGCATAGAATAAATGGTATTACTAAAAGTCAATGATGATTTTACCTAAGGTTGTGTTTCGTACAAAGAAATAAGATGGGAGAAATAGAATTCCTTTTTTTTCTTGTTTGTTTAGTACTAAGAATGTGAAAATGAGCAAAAATGATTTCCATTTCTACCCTTTTGATTCTCTATAAATTATGGAGAAATTGTGAGAAAATAAGCGGAGAAATGGAAACAAGAATTGAGTAAAAAAGCGGAGAAATGGGAAAATAAAACCAACACCGCTGCTATGTTATCAAATTATGCATAAGGCTATCCGGCGTACCCACCACTAACTATCAATTTGGTGAGTGTCACCACAGAACCACTAACACTTGTTTGTGCTTGAGATATGGAAAAGGTTTACAAGTTGCCTTTGTTATTCAATATTGATTTATGGCCTCTTTAAACACAATGAAATTGCTTGACCTGCTTTTGTGTAGGTTGTTAAGATTGTTATAAATTCGGCCGAATTCACTACATACTAGCCTCAAATCGCGCAACTTCGAACTAATTTGGTTGGGATTTCGACCTTCACTTCTCATTAAACATTTCATACTTTTTCCCAAAAACAATTAAAGGTTTGACTATCTCCTTCTACGGGCCGTGGGAATCCGAAACACATGCTTGTGCTAACTTATCTTCTTCCTCTTTTGTCCAATTCACCCTTTCGCTTTGATTAGTTTGAGTTGTTTTAACGGGTTTTTTTCCTTTTTTTTTTGGTTGGGATGGTGGTAAAGGTTGTGTTTCGACTACAAAATCCGATGAATTGGGTGGTAAAAACATGGTTGTGAAGGTTGGGGTTGTGGAGGTTGTTGTTGGAAAGGTTGTTGGTCTACGAAAGTAGTTTGGAATTGTTGTGAAAAGGGTTGTTGATAGTGTGGGAAAGCTTGTTATGGTTGCTGAAAAAGTTGAGTTTTTTTTGGATAGGGGAACCACTTTAGAGAAAATTCATAAAACCACCTCGAGGTGATTCCATGTTCGGGTATCCAAGATGAGTTGCATCTAATGCAAAAGCGTTATCAGGCTTGCAATTTTGATAATTTGTTGGTGGTATTTTGATTGGGATCCATGGTTTTTGGATTTTAAAACAATACAAATTTGTGTATGTAATAGAGGAAGAGAAGAATGTTGTGAAAAATATTGTTGTATGTAGTGGTATTTGTCAGTAAAAGTTTATTTTAAAAATTACAAGTTGTTACAATTGGTATCAGAGCCATAGTTTGAGCAAATTAGCTTGGACTGTCCCTACCTAGGCTTAAACTATGTGACATAACGAAAGAACTAAAGTGTTTTAGGATCTTTACACATGGTACTTTTATGATATTTAATTGTTAGATTGCATAAATTAGTACACGTATGCTAGTGGTTTATGGTTTAAGAATGGTTCATACTAGGAGCGGTGAAGATCCACAAGAGCGTGAATGGACTTTCATTCATAGAGGGAATCCTCAACCAGTTACCATGGAAGCTATTAAGAAGATTATTGAAGAGTTAAAAGAAGAGAAATCTCAAAAGATGAATTGGTTCTTGGATGCTCATCCGGGAGAACCCGAACAACCTCCAATGATCGAAGATGTTACACCGTCTGTTGCGGGTGCACCATCTGCTACGAGTGCACTATCTGCTGCAGGTTGTCGGGGGTGCACCATCTTTCATTGGTGCACGAACAATTATCAACCTATCCGTACCTCAAGGGTCCTAATATGTTGCACATCCTCCAATACGCTCGAAGAAAGGATGCTTTTTCAAGTTATTTATGGTGTGCAAGTCGAGTGAACATGAAGGAATTCGTGACCCAAAATTGGCTATAAAGTGGATCACCAAAACAAATCAATTTCACAATGATAGTGGATGTCAGGATGATCATAAAGTTATATATGCTTTGCATGTACTTAGGGGTCAAGCCCTTATTTTGTGGGAGGGAGTATGCCAAACCTTGGGAGATGATGTTGAAGCAAATATGTCTTAGGATGAGTTTATTAAGCGGATAAAAGCAAAATGTAACACCCGGAATTTAGAAGGTCAGTTAAGGAAGATAAAAATTCATTTATAAGTACAAAGCGTCGAGTTCAATGGGAAGAATTCGACATGTTAGAAATTTGTCATGCGTGTTTTTGGAAGACCAACTCGACAAGTTAGGGAGGTCTAGCTCGACGAGTTGGACGGGTTTGCGATAACCTAATTCTAAGATTTTGTACCCTATTTAAACAACTTAAACGTCATGAGTTGGCCTCATTTCCAGCCTCCATTGTCCTAAACCGTAACCTCGAAACCCGCACTTTTGAGTGATTGTGAGCCATTTTAAGGGTGTTATGTGTGTTTAAATCCATTTGGAAGGAAATAAATCTTGGGGATACAAGAAGGAGCTATTAGATCCGAAACTCTTCATCAATGGCTTCATCTTTGAGGTATAAAGTCGTCACTTTGACATGTAGCTTATTAGATCTCATCTTCTTGAAGTTTTAGCTTGAGTTTTGGGACCTTGGTTGAGTTGTCCAAAGAGAAGAGGTTTCCAGGGGTTGATGAAGTAGATCTGACCCCTACATGACCTCTTGATGCTTAAAGTTACAAACTTTATTGGCCTCTAGGTCCCATTCATGAAATATGTCCATTATGAAGCCATAACCGAGCCATAGAGGGTGTTTCTAGCATGCATGAGCGTAAAGTCGGAAACTTTACGTGAGTTGCCCAACTTGGGACATCATATCAGTGTTTTGGAACGTTGTGGGAATTTAAGGGCTTAATGGGTTAAGACCCTCTTTAAGGAACCTAGGGTTTGAGTTTGAAGCTTAATGGATCGTTCTTGAGGGTAAAGTTGGAAGAGATCTATGGTTTGGAGTCCTTGGATTCAAGAGAAATGACTTAATATGTTAAGTGGGATTGGCAGACTGAAGAACTCGACGAGTTCATAGGTGAACTCAACGAGTTGGTATGGTAGTAGGGAAACTCGACGAGTTGGGTCGAGACATCGCGATTATGTCGAGTTGAGGTACAACTCGATGAGTTAGGTCAACTCAGAGCGTTGATTTTGACTTTTGACTTTGGACAAGTTGGTCCCAATGGGTGCTTGGTGTAAACCAAATTGTAATAAAGGAGATTATGGGCTTAGGATAAGGCCCGTAAGGGGTTGGGGCCCAATTTGGAAAAATTGGGCCATTAATGGATCTATGGACATTATAGCGTTGGGCTTTTAGGCTTGGGCCTTAGTGTTGGATCATATTGGGCTAGGGGTAGAATGGTCATTTTACCCTATGTATGGATTTTAGATTATAACAGGGAACCCAATTGCTAATTGGGTATATTGATTGGTAATGATAGCTCGGCAAGCCGGTGGGGCAACAGCTGAGGATTTCATTCGGGGAGCTTCAGCATTCGAGGTGAGTCTCCTCACCATACCAATGGGTTGACGGCACCAAGGTCGGCCCATGTTATTTATTTGGGATGTTTATTGCATGCGTGTTATCGATGTTTAGGTATTTATGTAAAGATCATGTAGGGCTTCCCATGGCAGTTAGTTATGTGTGGTATGCTAGTTGTCTTCGTGACTCTTGCATGTAGTGGTTAATTGCGAATGATCTGTCAATATGTTATGTATGTGTACGAAGACCATGTGGGGGTTCCCATGGCAGTTAGCTAAGACCATGCAAGGGGTCCCATGGCGGTTAATGTATTTAGTTGTGGTGTTTATTGTGAATGTGCTATCCATATGTATGCATTTATATTAAGACCATGTGGGGGTTCCCATGACAGTTAGTTAAGACCATGTGGGGGTTCCCATGGCAGTTAGTTAAGACCATGTGCGGGTTCCCATGGCGGTTGGTAAGACCATGAGGGGGTTCCTATGGCACTTAGTAATACCATGTGGGGGTTCCCATGGAAGTGGGCTAAGACCATGAGAGGGTTCCTATGGCACCCGGAGTAAGACCTTAGAGGGTTTCCATGGCTTCGTTATATGTTTATATGCATGGTTTATGTGATTGATATGGATTATTTGGTTATGTGGATTATGTGTGGTATCTTATGGGGAACTAACTAAGCTTCGTGCTTACAGTTTTGTTTATGGTTTCAGGTATCATTGGTTTGGAAAGGAAGGGCCCAACTTGATCGCAGCGCACACACACTTGCGTTTCTTCAATATGTGATTTTGGGATGAACTCAGATAGATGTTTTTAATTAGAAATGTTTTTGGAATGCTTGGATTTAAAAGATATCTGTGTTTTGACTATAATAAAAATAAAATTTTTACCCTTAATTTTTGGGTCGTTACAAATTGGTATCAAAGCCTAGGTTTGAGGGATTTGGACATACTTTCGGGTGTTTCTGAACTCAAACTGAGGATCTGTAAAGTTTTCAAAAGAAAAATGTTTTCAAGGAAAGAGTTTTCTAAGACAAGAAAGGATGTGGTGCATGCAATTGGCCAAGCTCAAGTAAGTTTTCCCCATAATACCCATATATGTTGTATGTTATGACTTGATTTATGAATCTGTGAATTACATGCTACTTAGGGATGGGAGAGATGCCTTTGTATGTATGTTGTATGAGCTGGTAGACTTGCATGCTAGTGATTATTAGTCAGCGATAGATTGGCCTGATACGTGATGCTGGTAGCCTTGGCGATACTGGATGCTATGTTGGAATGGGAATGACTATTGGTATCAGTAACTGCTAAATGTATTCTTCAAAATTTGTATATGGTTAGGATCTTATAGCCTTAGAATAATTGATTTGGCCTTATTTCCTGTTCCTTGTCTGGTTATGGTCCTAGGGTAGAGTCTATTATTCGATAGTCTATTAGATCTTGTTCTGTGTATAATTTGCATGCATAAGGCAGCCGGCAGTGAGGGTGGATGTGGATAGCATAAGTTGTGGTATGTGAGCTGAATGTTCTATGATGGTTTCATGGGTTGGAGAGCTACTTCACCAATGTTGCTTGCTTTGTGCTTTGTGGGTCTCTTAAGTGATGTGAGTTAGCTATTAAGTGAATGTGTTAATTCACATGTAGTGAAGGTTGAATAATCTCAGAGTGATGGATTTTACCTTATTGTGAAACTCTCATTTTGTTGGATAAGGTGTCTAAGTCCATAACTATATTTGGTATGTACTTGACCCGACCCGGCATGGTCCATTTGGGTTGCATGGCATCATGCATTTGGATAAACTAAAATGAGAGAAATAACACTTATGGTCTATTAATATACTATAAGGTCTAATATATTAATAATATTATTTAGTTAGTATTCATCAAGAATTAATCTAGAATTAATTAAGTGATCAAAAGGAGACTAATTAAATATATGGGTTGATTTTGTAAATCATCCATACTTCTATAATGGACTAGATGCTCCATGGATTATCAAGTTGGGATAAGGTCCATAGGATGCTCCATAGATGCTTCATGGAAGTTACAAACCCATGGGTCATGGAAATGAAGAGTCATGTCACATTAGGGTTTACATGGTGTAACCCTAGATGTAACACACTATATAAAGGATATGAAGCTCACCAAAATCGGTTACTAGAAGCAACATAGAGGGCAAGCCAATTTCTAAGTGTGACATTCTCTCTCAAAGTTTACTCCAAGAGCATTTGATGTTGTGTGAAACATTTGAGGCATTGCACTTGGTGTGCTAGGCTCTCAAGGTTTTCAAGGAATCAAATCAACTACAAGGTATGTAATTCTAGCCATCTTTTATGTTAAAAGTTCCCCATGTATGCTAGATGGGATTATGAACCTTGGAAATCAAATTCTGATGTATTTTAGACAAACATAGATCCAAGGTTTTCTAGGGTTGCATGTACACTTTGGAGTGTTAGATTGCTCATAACCCATCAGTGGTATCAGAGCCTAGTTTTGTTTGTTAATACTTGATGAAAAATAGTGTAAAAAATAGAATTTTTAAGCAGTATGCACAGAAGACTTGCCGAGTCCATGGGGGGACTCGACGGGTCCAAGTTAAACTACAACCAACTCGGCGAGTTAGTTCATTTACTCGATGAGTTGGCCAGGCAGAGTGCATAATTTCAATTTTTGCTGCTAGAAATGGACTAGAAACATTACCCCAAACTGTTTTGGTATTATAAAACTTGTTTTAGATGGTGTAATGGTTGTTTTAATCCATTTTCAATGGCTAATATCAAAATTACATGATTATATGTGTTAATATGTTCTTGAAATTTTGATATGAATATTCATGTTCTTATGACTTCTTGATAGATCATAGGAATTAGTTGTTTAATTCCTAATTCATGATCTTTATGTGTTTTAATGGAGTCCATAACTTGTGCTCAAGTTATGGATAACCAAAAGTCACTTTGTATTAATCCCAATAAAAGAACACATAAGTTACAAAAATGAAAAGTCTTCACCGATTACGACATCCCTCTTCTAAGTTATGATATATTTTGATTGGATCCTAGCCTTAATATTACATTTGGGTGTTTTATTAAGGACTATCTTTATATCTAAACTAAAATTGTTCTCTTCTTTTTCAAATGTCTTCCAACAACACTGCTTCTGGCTCAAACCCTACTAGTTCCTTTTCCCTCGTGAACCTATGTGGGAGGGTCATCTTCGATGGTTCCAACTTTATGGATTGGATCCGGCACATCAGGATGGTGACTCGCTACGAGGACAATGAATATGTCCTCGATAAGGAGCTAAAGGAGATCGATGAGTCCACTGCTACTCCCAAGGAGATCGCTGACTTACAGACTCATTAAAGAGATGCCACCAAAGTGGCATGCATCATGATGGCCACCATAACAGTTGAACTCCA